TAATAATGACTTAACCTAATCCACAAAAAAAAAAGACTTCCTCGCCGCCTGCGGAACGCAAGAGTGACAGCACGCTAGCGCCATCTGTTGGTCAAAGCCATGCAGGAACACCGCTAACATTGCATGTGATGCATGAAAGGGACAGCTAATAAAACTAATAAATCATCGAAATACACATCTATAAATTAAGTTTATATGTGTAATGGCTTTCATTTCTTCATAAAATGCCTGGATTTCTTAACTGAAATATTGGTCTGGAATGTTTGAAGCCATAACTATCTGGCAGAGTAACTATTACACAAAAGACTACATATAGATAATTGATCTGAAATCGTTATTTAATGACAGACTATAGCATTATACACTTTAGATTACAGAACAAAGCAATGTTAGCGGTGTTCCTGCATGGCTTTGACCAACAGATAGCGCTAGCGTGCTGTCACTCTTGCGTCCATTAAGTCTTTTTTAGTTGTTTTTTTGTGGATTAAGTCATTATTATGAGAAACTAAGTCATTATTACGAGAAAGTTTCTCATTATTATAAGAAAATTAGTCATTATTACGAGAAAGTTTCTCATTATTACGAGAAAATAAGTCATTATTACGAGAAAGTTTCTAATTATTTCGAGAAAGTTTCTCATTATAACGAGATACTAAGATACTAACGAGATACATACATACTATGGAAGCCCGTTTCCGCCACTGAATAAAAAAATATAATTCCGTAAGTCATAATAATGAGAAACTTTCTCAAAATTATGACTTAGTATCTCGTTATAATGAGAAACTTTCTCAAAAAAATGACTTAGTTTCTTATAATAATGAGAAACTTTCTCGAAATAATGACTTAGTATCTCATAATAATGATAGATTAAGTTAACTATATTAAATTATATAAACATAAAAAAGCATACAGAAGCATTTTTGCCATCTACAATTTAGAATGGCTTGAATTTTGAGTTTTAATAGACTAATAATTCAACGTGCGTGCACTCTCTGTGATATACTTGATAATGTCATATCGCACATCATTACAACACTTACCATATTAATCGCAGACGATGCTGTATCGCACACCCCAGACTCGATTTGAGAGGAAAATTAATCATCCGCAGTTGTGCGCGCAGCCTCATGAGCGCATGAGCAAAGGTGTTTTTAGTCTAACTTGCAAACGCCAGACCACTGATTCGTCAAATCTGCTTTCCTGCAGTCCGTGTTCTTCTGACTTCTGACTATTTTGTAGTAAGTAACGAATTTGCTTCGGTGAAATGTATCGGAGTAAAAGTATACATTTTAATTAGGAAATGTAGTGGAGTAAAATTAAAAGTTGGCTGAAATATGAAAACTCAAGTAAAGTTCAGATACTCCCAAAAAATACTTAAGTACTGTAACGAAGTATTATTACTTCGTTACAATACACCACTGCATGCTATGTCCCTGCGTATTATCTCCAACCTACGCCACTGCAGACACTATTTGACTCTGTCCAACAATGAAATGAATGACACGTGTGTTTATTCTCAACTTTTTTCTCGAAATTTAACAACTTTTTTCTCGTCATTTAATGAGTTTATTCTCAAAAAAATTTTCTCAAAATGTAACAACTTTTTCTCGTAATTTAATGAATTTATTCTAAACATTTTCTCTCGACTTTTTTTCTCTCGAAATTTTAACGAGTTTTATCTCGAAACAATGACTTTATTCTCAAAATGTAATGAGTTTAATCTCAACATTTTATTTCGCCATTTTTCTTAAAATTTTACGAGTTTGATCTTGTATTATAATGACTTTAATCTCGAGATGATTTATTTTTTAAATATTGCTTGGCCCTAATCCTCTTCAGTGTCGGTATCCCTCATAGAAAATAGCTGGGGTTTTTTGTCCATGTGTTGTATTTACTGTGAATCATGCTGTTTATTTATTTATTTTTGACTACATACAGAGCCAGCATAGCTTCTATTATTTATGCTGTCTGAGTAATAATGTGAAATGTATTTATAAAGAGCCTGTTTTGTATTCTTGTGAGACCATGAGCAGACCAAATCATTGAAATTTGTCTCAAGCCCAGCAATTTTTGTCCATAATTTAACACAGTTAGGCGTTTTGGCCAGAAATCATGCTTAAGGCCGTTACCATGGCAGTGTACCAGATGTACATGAGAAAGACATGTGTTCAGAAATATTTAAGTTATGGAGTGGACTGGGAGTCTGAGATGAAGACAATTTGTTTCCAAAAGCTTAATAATATATTACTGTTCAAAAGTTTGGGGTTGGTAAGATTTAAAAAAAAAAGAAGAAATTAATACTTTTATTCAACAACAGGGATGCAATAAATTCATATTAAAATACAATTTTATTTATTTCTATTTTATATAAATGCTGTTTTTTTACTTTATATTCCATCAAAGAATCCTGAAAATGTATCAGTTTTCACAAAATATTGAGCAGCACAACTGTTTTCTTTAGCAAACAAAGCAGCATGTACAAATTATTTCAGAATCATGTGACATTGAAGACTACACTAATCAGGTTTGCCAGCACTAAAAAAAAACATCACATTAAAATAAAAAACAGTTATTTTAAATTGTAATTTCATAATAATACTGCTTTTGCTTTTGTATTTTTGATCAATTAAATGCAGCCTTGGCATATATATATATATAATAGTGTATTATAGTGTTATATATATTATATATAACAGTGTTATATATAAAAACCTATGTTTCATCATGTTGTATAACTGAGAGTTCTAAAATGCCTTTATAGTGTTATATATATTATATATAACAGTGTTATATATATAAACCTATGTTTCATCATGTTGTATAACTGAGAGTTCTAAAATGCCTTTTGATTACAGAGGTTAGTATTTGTGTTTTCCCATTGGCAGTAAAGAATAAGAACAGAACAGATGGATGAAATGTCTAAATGTAGAGAGCCAATACTTAAACAGCTCTGTGGATAATTAGCACTCAACCTTCAGGGAAAGTACAACATCTAAAATAATGAAATGATTTGCATTATCCCATGGTAAGTTTAAGTGAAATTCATAAAAAAAGGATTAATTTAATATTAGATTAAATCATTTAGGTATTTTTAACAACCTTTCTTAAAGGGGTCCTATTATGCTCTTTTACAAAGTCTTGATTTTGTTTTGGGGTGTAGAACAGGCTCTCATACTAGGTTGTTCGAAAAACATTTTATTATTATTAACACATTAATTTTCACATTTATATTATTAACACATTATTTTTCACATATTTTACATTATTACAACACCTCTCTCCCCAGTCTGGCATGAACGGCTCGAATAGTTCCTGTATCAAATGAAGGCCCGCAATTGAATGCAATACAGTTGCTATATATACAACTATATAATTACTCTTTTTTTTTTGTCCAGTGACATTAAATACAATGAATGTATGTTGTTGTAGAGTGTACATGATAATGATGATACCTCTTTGTTTCAGGTTGCTGTATTCGGTTCTTCCTCCGTCTGTAGCCAATGAGCTTCGGCATAAGCGGCCCGTGCCTGCTAAACGATATGACAATGTGACAATTCTTTTCAGTGGCATTGTTGGGTTCAATGCGTTCTGCAGCAAACATGCATCAGCAGAGGGAGCCATTAAAATTGTCAATCTGCTCAATGACATCTACACTAGATTTGACATTCTCACTGATTCTCGGAAGAATCCTTATGTTTATAAGGTGAGTGGCTTTCAAACTGGGATTTGGAATTCAGATCTAACCATATCTGTGTTTTTTGTTTATTGATAGACAGATAAAAATACCTTTATAACCATGCTCAAAGACATAAACAGATATTTTTGGCCACATCCAGAGATATTCAGCACACAAAGAAAAAACTGTACGATTGTGACTGGCCTAAAAATATCTTGACAAAAATGACAACTCTTGACAAATATGTGTGAATGTGTTTGTGAAAAGCAAGTTAGGCCACAGTGTAAAGTTAAAGCATTATACAGTAGGTGCAAAATCTGAAAATCAAATTTAAATGTCACTTTGAGCAAACTTAAAGTAATAAAGGTGTCACTATCAACAAAAGTAATAAACCTTCCAGCTACAAAGTTCAAAGACAAAAAAAATGTTATAAATATTTTTATGATATGTTGTTTTATGATAAATCTTTTATGATGTACCTAATTAGATCAATAAATGAATGACTATATTTAGAGCAGGGTGCCAGATTGAATAATCTTATGTGGGCTGATTTTTTATTTATTTATTAAATCTTGATGTAGGAAACACAGAGTGTGTATACAATACTGGGACAAAAAAGAAGTTGAAACATTGAATTTACTAATTAAATTTACTGGAGGCCTTTAGATTATATGTACATACAGTATGCAGTTGGTAATTAGGAAGTATTAATCAAACAACAGTATTGATATATTTGATAACTGGGAAAATCAACTGAACAGTTGCATCACCCACAAATCCACTTTCAGATGAAAGTGCAAATTCATGCATAAGTACCAGATGTTACGTGTAATTACTACTTCTGCTTTAAAATGTGAGCTATAATATACACAACTAGTTTAGCTAAAAATAGAATATGAATTTATCATACCCATAAAATAATTGGATGTGATTTTTTTTTCTTTTGAATCATTTCACAAGCTGGATTAGACTCCTCTGGAGGCCATATTTGGCCCACAAGCTGAATGTTTGACACACTTGGTTTAGATATTGCAAGTGTAATGTGAGTCTTGAAATTCCAGAACAACCAGCCATGGTGTTGTATTTTATTGTAGCTTTAAATTTAATTAACTTTCTTGTCTTAACTATCTGTCCCTCATAGTCTGTACTTTTCCAACTACACACCATGTACAATGCTCTCTTAAAAACAAGGGCATGAGAACATATCCTTGATTTACATCCTAGGCATACAGACAAGAATGCACTTCATGAAGCTTTGCTAACTAAACAAAACGGGCGGGTAGAGTTTCAAGGCTGGCTCACCAAAAAAAGCAATATTTACTAAAAGCCATCCGTATCTATGTGGTCCAAAGGTCTCATAAAGGACTGGGCTCTCTCGTTAGAGTTTGTTGTGATACGGTATAGATATGTGGTTGGCGAATGAAACATGAGGAGTTAAATTGCCAACATTTGTGTGCTTTGTCAAGAAAACTTGGATGAATCAAAAGTATTCTAAAATTGGAGGATAGTTTCTCCTGATATTTTCATTTTTTATTTTAGTTGGCTGTATTCATATAACAAACTAGGACCAGTTATTATCTTGTAGTCAAGGCCACAAGATTTCTTTAAATGTTTTTTAGTTAATTTAATCAATACATGTTCATTAAAAATGTTAAGTACACACACATTATATATATGTATAGATATATACATACAGTATATATATATATATATATATATATACATACAGTATATATATATATATATATATATATATACTCTATATAGACAGACTTTAAACAGACTATATATCTGTTGTGCAGATATTATTACATCAAGTAGGTTAATGTGTTAAATATAAAATTGGGGTAGGAAATTTAAAATATCCAAGTGTCCTTTGAGGTTCATCATACCACAGGCACATTAGCTATTTCTAGCCGTCTCATCAGTTTCTCAAACGTCTCTCTATTCTCTGAAAGGTGGAGACAGTTGGTGATAAGTACATGACTGTGAGTGGTCTTCCGGAGCCCTGCACCCACCATGCAAAATCCATCTGTCATCTGGCCCTGGACATGATGGAGATCGCTGGACAGGTGAAAGTAGACAAGGATCCTGTGCAGGTGATCACTTTTCTTGACCCAGTTACAAGTTTAAACAAAAATAAAATGTTTTCACATTTTTATGCATAGCACATGAGGTTCTGTTAAGGTCTTCTGTTCCAGAACATCTTATCAACTCCAGGATAACGTAGTATCACTTTCAGTCTTTGTCAGAATAGCTGAATTATGTGGAAACAAAATTAGAAAAGTGTTTGCTCAAATCTTATCATAGCCTGCTGATTGTAAGATTGAATACCAGTTCAAGTATATGTAATGAAGAACATTACAGCAATATCACTCGAACAAGAATGTGTGATGCCGTTGTTCCAGCGCTGCTTTATTAATTATCACTACTATTGGAATGCTTGTGTAATCAAATTAGATGACTGAAACTATAGAGAATAGTTCTAATATACAGCGTATATGAATATTACCATAGGTTTACTCTCAGATACTGGAGGTGCATTTTTCCAAGACTGCAGAGGCTGGCGTGCTGAGGGTGCTGAATCATCTCATGATGAGATACTATGTACTGTTTAATATATGAAATTCTACATAATATAGTTCTGGTTCTCAGTTTTTGGCTGATTTGCATTCCTAGATTGCTGCTATTTAGTCCAACAGCACTGAACTTCAATGTTTGTATCAAAACGCTTGTCTGTGTTTGTTGAATCATTCACTCAACTGATTCACTCAGGAACGAACAGCTGATATAGCTTTGGCTATAATTGGAACTATTTTAATAGGCCTATTGGGGGTTTCAGAAGATGTGCATTAAGTGTGAACGGTTGTGGATTCAAAACTTGCTCTACTGTTTTTTTTTCTTTCTTTTAGTAAATGAATATCAGTAATGGCATGTCGCATTCTATTTCGTCATTTCACTGGAATGGATAGGGGATAATAGGGAAGTGTTACGCTGGGGTTACGCTTTCATGCTACCTTGACTGGTCTACCGTATCTGGGTCGCCCTGAGGGGTTTCCCGATGTAGTAAATCAGCTCAAAAAGGGAAATATTTATGACTAATTATAACTGGTTATGATTAATAATAAATATTTAGATTAGATCTTTGAATTAACTGTAGCAGAATCTTGATAAGTTCGTTAGGAGTGAGCTGGAGGTTTTACTTCTGGTTCTTCTGAAGAAGGTAAAGTCCACAGCGACTAACGTTACTTGAAGATAAAAGCTGCCGGAAAATAAAAACTCAAGAGGAAGATCTTGAGAGTCTTTAGAAAAGTGTTGTCTCAAACGAAGAGGGTTTCCGAGCAAAGATTATTTCGGGCTAATCACTTTTGAGGGTTCCTATACACACCCCCCTTTTGAACGAAACATCTAGAAGATCTTAAAGCAGAGATACACTCATATACCTGAATATAAGCATTGAGAGTCTAACTAATACAAATAAAGAGTTGTGACTAGGCTAATACAATAGGGAAACATACAAACAACACATGCATATACCAGATACAATTATAACTGATTAATTATAGTCTAAATAAAGAAATGTCTTTATGTGTTTGTGTTTGTGTGTGTTAGTTTACTTGGTCCAGGCCCATTGTTGCCTGGCATCGGGGTCATTTACAGCTCTTTGGGAAGTGTTTGAAGTCAGATGGGGGAGATGATAGTGGGGGGGACTGGTTAGAATCTCCTTGATGGCGAGGAACCATTTGGCAATTTAGACCCCCATACAAACGTAAAGTCTGTGACCAGCTGCACTTTGGCTGACAAAGTTCACCTGCACACATCGTCAGACAACAGTTTTCATGATGATCGGGTAGCAGGTGGATCATAATGGCTAGATGGCAGGTGGGTCCTGAAGGCTGGATGGCAGGCGGATCCTAATTTTCGGATGGCAGGTGGATCAGGATTGTCAGATGGCAGGTGGATCCTAATTTTCCTCAGCCTTCTGATCCTCAGCGGGGGGGTTAACCTTGGTCAGGTTCAGCATTGTCTCCGCCTGGGTCCCTCT